TTTCAGAATAGAGACACATTCTTCAATGTCCAGATGCCCAGAGGTAATGTTTAATTAACCCACTGAGTTATAAATTCATGCAGACTTTTCTTCATCATTATAATATTCATAATAGAAAATGCTTCAGAAATTATTATCTCTCAAGACACCAGCTAATATTAATTTGCCAATCATTTAATCAGAAAATCATTGCAAATAGAGATGGTTAAGGGCTCAGGTGATCCTTGGAAACTTTTAAGTTCATTTGCTGCTGCTCTGTTTATCAGAGAATTGTCAAGCAAATTGTCATCTCATCTAGAATTACAGATTGGTTCTAGACAGACATTAGTGCTCAAGTCACATCTCTACTACAAGCCCTTCCTTCCCCTTCTTTTCTCATGCTGTGTGTGGTGCCCTACACTTGCTGTGCTCCAGTGTTCCCAGCAGTGAGATATTTGCTATGGATACTCATACCAGACACAGCCATCAGGGCAGATCTGTGCCAAAAGAGCATAACTTAGGGACATAAACCAACTATAAGACAGACATGGCTTGGCCATTCTGTATATTTCCGATATGCAGGTTTACACCAAAGTCGTTGCCATCATTTATAGTTATCCTTTGGATAGTGTGAGCTAGTCATGTTCACATGATGTGTTCCTGTTGACTCTTATTAAAGTAAGTTTATATGGGAATCAGGTAGACAGAAAGAGAAGATCTCTCTCATGTCCAGCTATTTCTTTCCTGAACTACTCAGAGTCCACTTTAAATAAAATCTAATCCCAACTGGGCAAAGTGCATTTAGTGTTCCCTTTTGAAACCTTCCAGAATTCCTAAACTATCAGCTCTTGTGGTTCACTGACTACCTGAATGAAATATTTTCAACTGATTTGGCACATTTTCAGAGTAACAGATGGTTCCATCTTTACTGCACAAACAATAGCTGCAGCAACAACAAAATAATCTGTGATTCCGCCTGGAACTTCTTTAAGTATAAGAGAGATCTCATAGACCATCTTAAATTTCTGATAATTACTTCAAGGAAGAAATCTATTTCTCGAGAAATTCACATTATAATTTTCTAAGCAAAGTATTACATCCATGGAGCAATTGTCTGAGACTGAGGAGACTGAACTGTTACGGATGAGTTTTTAACAGGACCTCCCCAGCAATACAGCAGCTGTAAGGAGAGAGATTATGAAAATGTGATGCTGAGAAACTTCTTCACTAAGGCTAAAAATAAACTAATATATGTTACAAAGAAAATCATAGGAAAAGAAAATGGGAACTAAGCTCAGAGAGGCACAAATTATGTGATTAGGAACATGCAGCAAAAGCGGGAGACATTTCAAACAGCCAGAAATGGTCCAGTTTACTATCCAGTTTCTTTTAGAGAATGTTTTTAATGGTCATGGTCTAGGAGTATTTCTTAAAAGACAGTATACACTGTATTTTTGGAATGGAATTCTCCTGAATTTGCCTTTTAGTTTCTAACATTTCAGAATAGGAAAAGCAATATAATTGACAAAGTAATTTTCTTCTATTATTGAAAAAGACATAATCAGATATATCAGATTAACATTGAGGATAAAGTAAGAAACAGTGCTCATTGTATTGGATACATACTGATTTGCAAGTTTTAAGGGTAATATATAAAAAAAAGTGACATTCATTAAAAAGAAAACCTTACTCTGTACAGACTAGCTGTCAAATATTAATAGGAAACCTGATTTTTTTCTACACATTTCTATTTTTAATTCCCAAATAAATTCTCCAGAATACTAGTGTATATTATAGAAGAGCATACAAGACCTATGCAACTCTAATTATTGGGAGTGTGCCACAGAAAAAATATTTGGGGAGCTACTTTAGCTGAGGCAGAGCTTAAACATTTAGCTGCTGTGCCTTTGGCTTTTCAGCTGCTCTCAGCCCATGCTGTCCCTTCTGTTCAGATGGTGAATAGGGTGGGGAGAGGATTCTGCTTAAAATCAGTATGCTGAGGACTTCACCTTCTGGTCATTTTTCAGCTAGATTTGATTCCTGATCCAATTCATTGCATGAATCTGATGATGAGACTGCAGCGTGTAGGGGGAATAACTCCTAATGAGCAGAGAGTCCATAATTTAGCTCTGCTACACAGTAAGTGCACAGCAGGGTATGGCTGGCATGAACAAATGTGTTTCTCTGCTCCTGAGCCAGGGAGAGACAGGCTCCATGAAGGAAATCTCTGCTGGAGACCAGTAGATGTGCATTTGCAGTGACGGGAAGGCTTTGGGGAAGTGGTCTGGATGTCGAGGGTGGTGCTCTGAGGTAGATAAGTTCTACAAGCAGGCTGGCAGGTCAGGCAATTCCTGCAACCTGCAAATAAATGTGGTCTATTCCCTCACTGAGGTACAGCTGGTATTTAACTGAGGGGTTCAAGAGCCCTGAACATCTGTCAGAGAGGGTGAACAGGTGGAACCCAGCTGTGGCCACAGTTGCTTCTACAGTTCATGGGTTATACTGAATCCTACAAGATTCCCAATGAAAAGCACGCTACTTGTAGGTTAACGTATTGCCCTCAGTCTGTAGCCTGGGCTCCTGCTCAGGGAGGGTTTCATTTTCTCTTTACACAATGGAAGCAATAACAAGGAGACATGGAAGCAACCTTAGTTTCTAAATAATTATATTTGCTGAGCATTCACAAGGAGCTTGCTGCACTCTCACCAGTGATCTGACTGATTTCTGGCAGCTGCTTTACCCTGATGCATTGAGATCATGGTTGGAGTGCTCACAGGATACTTTTGGGGGTATTTCTTTTTCCTGTGTGATGAAAATGACGGCAACACCTAGCAATCAGCAAACAGCCCATGGCATGACTGCAGAGACAGGTAGTTTTTTGAAATATTTTGTGTGTTGAACAGAGCAATTTTATTTTGCTTAAGTTCTACTTCTAATATTCCTTACATTCAAACATTCCTGGGGGAAAAAAAGCTGTTATATAAGAAAAAGGTTCAGGCTGTTCTTAGTGAGATCAATACAGCTCATCTCTTTACGTGATTCTAAGGAGGATATGTTGGGTAAATACTCTGGGGAAAAGTTCTCTCAGTGAATATTGAATGGTAGAACTTCTTTTTTGTAATTAGTCATATACAATTGCTATGTCATGAGGCCTACATTTAAGCTTACTTTAAGAATCTGTTTTTCTGTGGATTACTGAAGAAACACTAAAGATATCACTTGAGCAAAAAGGTTCTTCCAGGACATAAAAAAGGTGATGCAAAATAAAATGGCTTTTTTTTCCCCCCTTATATATTCAGTGATTGACAGTTCTTAGTTTTTTTATTTTGTATCTTCTATTTTTTGTCATTTTCCTCATGTTTTTAAGTGAGTTTTAACTTTCAACCATTTTGTTGTCCATCAAAATCAGAAAACAGAGAAATCTTACCAAGTGAAAACTTTTGATTTTCAGTGCTGCCTGTTCTGTCATTCTTAGTTCAGTCTTAAATTTAGGATCTCTCAGTGGGAGAAGATAGATCTTTGGTGAAGACTGACTTTATCACAGCTTGACAGCACTTTATTATCTGCCTTAGTTTTATTGGCTTTGATGTTTTGTGTTTATTTAGCTGTAAATTGAAAATAAGTTGAAAATTCAGGTTGCAGTCAGAGCTCTAGGATAGCTTTGTTGTGGAGTGCAGCACATTTTAAATACTTTTTGCTAAATTAATCTCTTTTTTTTAAAAAAAAAAAAAAAGGAACTTTCAACACTTGACCTCAGGTGCTACAATGATGATGGACTGGAGGCTGTAAGTGCTTTACTGAGAACACTGGAAAAATACACATGGGCAGTCAAACTGAATGGCAAAATGACTCCAAAGTCAATCTGTCTATGAGATTTTGCTGAATCTCTGTGCAATGTGTGCCTTTGACTGTGCTCAAGGTTGTGTTCTTTATGCAGAGTTTGCCTCTCCAAGAAGGAAGACAATGAAATGCCTCAGAGCCAGGGGCCAGCAGCAGAAACTGCTGGGAATCAGCTGTGTAGGCACAAGGGTTTTTCATTTTCATAGAATTATAGTGGTTTGTGTTGGAAGGGATCTTACACATCACTTAGTTCTAAACCCCTGCCAGGGGCAGGGACACCTTCCACTAGCCCAGGTTGCTCTAAGCCTCATCCAACCTGGACTTGAACACTTCCAGGGATGGAGCAGCCACAGCTTCCCTGGGCAACATGTGCCAGTGACTCACCTATAATGCTTTGTAGTATAATCCAATCTCCCTAAAAAACTTTCTAGTTCAAGAAGTACAATTCATAGCAAAAGAGTGATAGAGAAATGAATTTTACCTAAAAAAGTTTTACATCAGTGCCGGTTCATTTCCTATGTTTGGGAAAACTCATCTGTACAGTGGGAAAGGTCTGGCTGTGTCTTTGGATGATGCTGAAACACACATCAGCTCTGCCATTTGCAGGGGTGCATTGGCTTTAAAAGAAAGATCTGACAATTTTCTTCTTCCTCTTACCTATTTTGCAGCTCACAGTTCAAGTTATACAGGCTTTTCAAGGTCAAGTGTGCTTTCATGTCTTCAGCATGTTTCTGTTAGAGTGCTATAATGTAGCATTGTGTTTAGCTGATAGTCTTGGACAACTCAATTTGTTGTTTGGTACTTTCCATAGACATAAAATGAGACAATGACATGGTGGGTACATTGCAGGTACGTTCTGAAGATCTGTCGTTAATTATCTGCAAGAAGCCGCAGGAAAATCATATGAAGTTTATATTTAACTTTTAATGTGTTGTAGATTGCTGAAGGAAATAGAGGGGACTAGACAGAAGGCCAGAAGGTGGGAATTCCTGTGATGGATACTGCTGCGTTCCCTTGTCTCTGCCTGCTTTGTGTCTTGCCTAATTAGCTTGTATTTAATCTCTTGGAGCAAAGAGCTCCCAACTACATGTTTGTCCACGACAAGCACAGTGAGATCCTGCTAGAGGACTGTTCCAACAGTGATAACTGTTTTCAGTGTCACATGCCTTTTTTTTTTTTTCTTCCTACTGAAAATGAGCAAATTAAAGACCATAACTGGGATGTTTACAGCCACAACATGGTGAACAAACAGATAAGGTAATTTTACCCCTTCTGTTAGTTACCAAAGCAACACTGTAAAGATCCTTTTAATTTAGTTTAGTACTGTGAAGATTAAAGCTTAATTAAAGCGATGATATTAAAAAAAAATAAAACCTGAAACAGCATAGGAAAAATAGAAAGACATAATTATGGTCCAGTGAATGCTTATCACTCGTTATGAAGCTTCAGGGAAGAGGCATTTTTTTCTCTCCTTTGAGAGTAATTTTATTCTGGTCATAGATTTGAATGACCAGAACAACCTAGGATCATAGCTGTTTATAAATTACTAAGGACAGTTGAAGAATGTGTTATTCTACTTATAAAATAGGGGATAGTAACTTTTCCTTTGCTGGTCCATTTCCTCAAAAAAATCTCTTTCATACCCATCAGGGAGAAAGACTTTATGAAGACAAAAAAAATTACTGTTTCTCAGTATTTCACATGGTTTGCATAGAAATTCAGCTATTTAATATTAAAAGATCTCTTACTTTCAAATTATTTACTAAACATACCATGTTGTGAATTTGGAAGGTGTCAGATTTTCAAGTGGTCCTAAATGGCATCATTTCCTTTTATCGACAGAGCTGCACTAATTTGTACCAGGTGAAAACATATGTGAAGGACTTGGTGTGATGTAATTATTAGAAATTCCTCCAGGAATGTGACTTTTGTTGGCTAGTTAAACATTTGTTGCTTTACCAGGTTTAAACTAATGAGTTTAAAATCATTGTGGGGAAACCATATGTTTGCCCAGTAGAAGGCAAACCAGGACATGAGATGATACTATTTAACTGCAAAATTCAAAGTAGTAATCTGTTCATGACAAAGCAGGAGCACTAGAGAAAGAGCAGTTTCAGCTTATTAGCTTTGTTGATAGCTGTCTTTCTGGTTTCTTCAAGAAGTGAGCTGGCAGGATGCAATAGCTCTAAATACCACAGGAGTAAAAATGCCCTTTCACTGAGACCCTCTGTTCATCTTGCTCAAGCGTCTTAAAACTACCTTTAACCATATATCACACATTACTTCTGTGCACAGAATCACTAGTAAAATTAGACATTTAGCCTTATGTCAAAGCAGCATTACCTTTATTACAGTATGGTGATGACTTCTGTTGTTACAACTCAGCCTGGTAACTTTGACTTTTTTCCCCAGGCTACTGTGGAAACCGAAAGGTCACTGGACTTCAAGGACAAACTCATGGAAAGTAATCTACTGAGATTGCTGAGACTGTGTGTGGCCCAGGATGTCTGTGAACTGCAAAGGACTGGAGGATAGAGGAGCACACAGGTGATGTATTTCATCAGTCTGTCCCACTCTTTGGATTTTTCCTGATAGCATGTTTTGCCCATTGCTGGAGAAAGGATATTACATTACCTGTAGTTTTGGTCAGGTCCTGTCCAACACTTCTGCTATCAAACAACTCTGGCAAACAAGAATTTTAGCTTTAAAAATATTGCCTTTCTTTTTTAATCAAGATACAAATGAATTTTCTGGCTTCCAGGCTAGCATATATATATATGAGTTCTCCAGAAGTCTGCAGCTCAATTAGTTATTCCAGGATATATTTCTGTTTTTATTAGCTAAGCTGTTAAGAAACATCATGGTATAAATCTCTCTGGTGGTGTTCCTGCAAAACCTAAAAGCCTTTTAACCAGGCAGCACTGCAGGAAACTGTCACACACCCACCAGCTTGGCTCACTGTCTTTGAGGAACCATAGGTTATGGGCACGTGAAAGGCTACAGAATTTAATATCATGCCAGCTCAAGTACAGTTAAAAATTATAATTGAATATACTTGCAGTCTTAAGAAAAGTGAGGCATTTTTCTTCACAAAGAATTATTACTTTCTAATATCACCTTTCAGAAAAAAAAGAAAAGCCATGTAAATTTTTTCTAGAATGCCATTGTATAATTTACCCTGCCAGGGGCTCAGACTATTTATGTTTTTGACTGTACCGTCTTCAGTAAACTTAAAAAAAAAAAATTTCCATGGTAACCATTGCATCACACAACAAAGACATGTATACACCGCTTAGATCTTTAAAGAAGCAGAGTCTGGAATGAAATTACAGTCTGCATTTCTTAACAAAATAATATTCTTCTCAGTAAATACTTGTTGTTTTATCAATAAATTCTAATTTTACATTTAAAAACAGAATATGAAATTGTGGATCTAAAATAGTTCTGTCTTAAAAATGTTAACTTTATGAGAACCATTTGTGCAGGTGAGGTCACTGAACCGTGAGAGAAGAGAAGGAATGGGTGTGAGATGGTGATATTCTTTAGTTTTGTCTCTCTGCTAATTATCCCAGACATTATTTCCATTTTACAATCTTTATTTCAATGCAGTGTTCATGCCACAGGAAGGCCACAGTGGTCACATATGTATTTATATATGTTTACCATATATGTACACTTACATTTTCAAACTGATTTTACAGGTACTATCCTGTGGGGAAAAAAAAGAAAAAAGTAGAGGCCATTCCATCTGTCTCTAACTTTTTAATAAAGCTCAATACATTCATATGAGAGCATATAGACCTTCAGTAATGCTTCTCATTTTTCACCTCTCAGCTCATGTGCAGCACCCCAGACCCCAGAGCTGCACTGTGTGAGGGTAGGCAGCATTGCAGAGAGTTGACACAGGAAAGCTTGGAGGCAGAGCCCTTGTTGGTTTACCTGGTTGCTGCTTTGGACTCTGATTCCTACCAGGGCTGTTAAACAGCACCAGGATGTCAGAGCTGGATATTCATGTCTGCCCATACAGCAGCATCAATCAGCTGGGGTTTATGCTGGGTTATAAAGTTGTTTTTGTGGTTCAAAATAGATCTAAGACACAAAGCAAGTCCTATATCTGAAATTTGGGTAGAAATCTGGCATTTCGATTTAATCTTATGGACTCCACTGAAGTGCCACATTCTGTGGCTGTGGCTTTAATGTGTGGCTATGGGGCCTTCTGGCATATCATGCAAAGTTTCTGGCAGATGCTCCATGTTGGTACAACCCTGCTCATGTTGGAACCACTTTCCCACTGGAATAAGCAGAGTCTGAGACTCCCTCTCTCTCTCTGCACTATGGAAATTCTTCATTTCTTTGGTAGGCAGAGCTGCCTGCCAATATTTAGCCCTCAGCAATTTTTTTTATGATTGAATTATAAAACCTGGAAATATGAGCTTATAATGAAAATGCCAGCACCACATTAAAAATAGCAGGAGCAGTGGGCACTGCTGTAATGATGTTCTTGCTTTGGTTTTAATCCCTGCTCCAAAGCAGCTCTGCTTCCTGAAGCACTGGAGGTAAGGGATCTCAGCACCTGATGCTCTGACCACACCATGTGGGGGTGTGTGATGTGCAGACTCCCTGATGGGCTGCCTCAGCACATAGCTGAATTTTGAGCTATGCTCCACCATTCCAAGAGCAAGAGGAGAGGCATGAAAGAAAGGGATACAGTTATCATGGGATTAAATGCTTGCTCTCTGTAATTATTTTATAACTAGGAAATTCCAGTAGTTTGTTTACACTCATATAACTAACCAAGTAGGGGAAGAGTAGAGTCCTGTTTGATTGGAAAAGGGAATAATCTTCACCTTTGCTCTAGTGCCTGCAGCCTCCAGATTACTCCACATTTCTCTGCAGTGCTGTTTGCCTGTTTGGGTAGTCTGAGTATGTCTCAGTTTCCATCTGTTGAAGAACCACGTCAGACCTAATGGACTTAGTATAAACTCCTACAGTTTGAAATACTTCCAACTAAAATTTTTGGGCTTACAGTAGTTGTTTGTGGCTGAAGTTCAACAGCCTGGGACAGTGTGGAGGGCAGAGCATCCACCAGCAATGGTGCCTTTGAGGGAGGGCACTTTGAAAGTGCTGAAAGCTTCACTTTACAGTTCATCCTGCCTTTACGTTTCCCATTTCCCTCATCCTTTCACCTGCATGTGCCTACCTTCTGTCAGGAGCTTATCTGACTGACTGCTGGAGTGGAAGTTAGTAAATTAATGTTATTTGAATATCTGTTTTAGTGCAGTGTCACATATCCAAACACAGGGTTGGGATTTCATTGCACCAGCCACAGATTTAGGATGTGCAGCGGATTGCTGTGTCCATCAAGACAATCCTCTACAATTAGTCATTCTTGACTGAAAATTATTATAATGAGAACTGCTAATGAATTAGTTTTTGAAAGTCATTGTGGTGTCACAGTGCTAGCGCTGTGAAAGTAAAGGTAAAGTTTGCCTAATGAAACAGGAAGAGAATAGTGGAGTCAAGGGAAATAAAATACCCATGGATTAAGCTGGATGAAAAGAGGTAGTAAAAGGAAAATGAAGAAACACTGGCAATTGAAAGGTGTGTAGAAAAGTTGAGACATAAACAAGCTGTAGGCTGAGGGAAGAGGGGTGGTTAAATTTCTTCAGCAAAAATTTCAAAGGGCAGTGGGAATGGAAGGACCTGTTTGCACAATAAGCTGCTGTTTAGAGCCTTGGCTATGCAATTTCTTCCAGCATTAGAAGTCTATTTTAAATAACAGTTTACATTACTATGGCAACCACGTATCCTGGCCATTTTCTTTCTCCAAAACAAAAGGGTATAAAATTCCAGAACATTTTTCTGCATCTCACTTAGTCCTGTAACTCCTCTGTGAATTGGTTCATGATGGTTACAATTAAGAGTTTGTCTCATTGGCCCTTACCACTTGTCTATTCTACTTTTGTTTCTTTTCACCTGAAATATGTCCCTCAGAGGCAGGATCTCATTAATCACTGTCTTTCCCAGTAGTATAACTCTACTGATTTTCAGAGATTATCTGTAACATGTAAGGAACACATTGACGAATAAGCCCTTGAAATTCCATGTTTAATCTCTGTGGTAAAATAGTATTTCTATTAATATTGCAATTTCTTCACTTTAGATAATTGCACCTTTCTTGATTGTGAGATATTCAGTGAAATAAGTGGGAAGAGAATAATGACTGTAACTGAATAATTTGTGAAATGACATCCCCTTTCTCCTCCTCTTCCCCACTTACACCGTCTTTATGACACAACATAGAGAAAAGGATGCTGTCCTATCTAGGAGAGATGAGCAAGTTGATTGGCATAAGGTTGACATTCACAGCTCCAGTATCTGAATGCTGAGCACTAGCCAGAACAAGTCTCAATCCCTACACAGGATATTTTTTCAAGTATTTTCAAAATAAATAAGAAAATAGTGAATTAATCCTTTAAACGTGTATTAACAAGTAGTAGTTTTGGAATGAGGCTGTTTTCTTTTGCTCAGGATCATGTTTCCTCTGGCCATACCATGCCCACAGTAGTGATTGGTGAAGCTGAAACAGGTTTTTTTTTTTTGATATTATAATTTAAGAACAGTGTTACATCTCCATAATTTTAAAAGATGGACCCCTTTCTAAAAATTATGCATTTGCACAGCTACTGAATCTTTTATATCCAATTTCTGTGAAAACAATGTCTCCCTGACTGCTTGCCAGTCAGCTCCTATTGTGAGCAATTAGAAAAGGGCAGTGGAAGCAAGTAAAGCACTCTGGGTTTTTGAGATCTAATCTTTGTAAGAAAAGGAATTTGAGCTGTGGGCATTAATGCATTGTGGTACAGCAGTGCATAAAGCAGTACCTTTTTAAAATTTTGTTCTTGTCCTGACTAATTGGTTCAATGTTAAGTGAGGTAACAGTTTAAAGAACTAACTCATTATATGGAATTACTCTGTCTGCTGCGATACTTAAAGTCATCTTGCAGCACTCTGGAGCTCAATGCATAAAATATTACCTTGGTAAGTAACTATCCCGCTGGATAGAGCCTTTTCTTTCAGAAGTTAACCTACAGATATGAGAACTCTGTCCTTGCACATAGTGTCTGATCCAGTGCCAGTGCCTAAGGATGTTCTTGGAAAGATTCCCATCTTTAAACACTGGATTGGGGTCCATGGTGCAGTAGCTTAAGTGCTAAGGCTCTGACTTGCAGCAATAAAATATGACATTACTGTTTTAAAGTAGGAAAAAGGGTAAAAGAACGTAAGTTGACAATGAAATACTGATAAGAAAAAGCAAGAGCTGTGTGAAGGCAGAAAAGCGGAATTTATAGAGAAAAACTTGGAAATCATGAAAATTAAAATAATAGGTGCTTTTCCCAGTTTCTTCTCATCTGTTATAATATACATGCAAGAGAAGGACAAAGTGTTTTTCTCCACTCAGACAGCTAAATATTATACCAGTTCCAAAGATGTGAAAAATAGGAGACAGAAATACACAGTGAAGTCAAGGTGATTATTGTAGAATA